CCTATTGGCATTTGATGAGATAATTCTCACCATATGATTTTCTGAAGAACAAGGGAAAGATGGCCAAGTAACACTTAAACACAAAAGAAACCTGTAGAATGACACATATGGGGTACAATTTATCATAAAACATACATACACAAAACCAACTGTATGTTAGCATACCTATAAATATACCTACGAAAATGTCTAGGAAAACATACACACACTAGATAATTGTGCTGGCTCTAATAGGAGAGAAAGGGGTGATGAGTGGACCTCAACTTTCTATAGATCAATGAACTGCTTACAATGATAATCTGTATACTGTCTACATAAATATTTTTTAAGGTTCAGCTAGAAGAAAAAGGACATTGCAACAGCCAGAAATAATATGACCTGGCAATTCCACTCCCACGTATACACCCAACAGGAGTGAAAGCAGGGTCCTGAAAAGAGACCTGCACTGTCTTCACGGCAGCATTATTCACAGGACCCAGAAGGTAAGTGGACAGGTGGACAGATAAACAAAGTGTGGGACAACCATACCCGGAATAAAGGAAAGAAATACAACCACATGAATGAACCCTGAAGACATGCTAACTGAAATAAGCCAGACACAAGAGAATAAATATTGTATGATTCCACTTTTATGAAATATCTAGAACAGATGAATCCATAGAGCTAGAAAGTAGACGTGAGGTCACCAGGGGCTGGGTGAAGGAGGGAATGGGGAGTCATTGCTTAGTGGTTACAGAGCTTCTGTTTGGGAGGATTACAAAGTTCTGGAACCAGATAATGTGACGGTTGTACAACATTTGTGAATGTAACTAATGCTACTGAATTGAAAAAAATCAGTAGAGAGGAAAAAACGGCAAAAGCCCTAAAACTGTGCATATCTGGGCACAGAACTTGTACTCTCAGGAACCTAAACAAAGGCTATAATCAAAAATAAATGCACAGAAAAGCCCATAAGCAGAAAGCTGGCCAAGTAGGTAAATAGGATAGAATGTCATGTAGCTCTTAACAACCTCATTCTAATCTAGACTGTTCGTTGGTTTCAAAAGCTACTAAAAATGACCACCTGAGAGGTTACCAAACAGGATATGTCGTGCAATCTTATTTGTGTAAAAACAATGTGACTATATATTTACAAAGACGTTATCCAAAATATTCATAGGTGGTATCTTAGAGGATAGAACTATGGGTGATTTTGTGTCCCCTGCCAAAGGACTTTCTGGATTTTTCCTCTATGTTGACAGGTAACACTTCCATTATTTAAAAAAGAATGAAAACATGCTTTGTAAATACCTATAGAATATAATTTTCCCCACAAGAATATTCAGAAAAAAATAATAAAAGATATAAAGTGAGCAGCTCATGTAAGCATATACCCTACAACCAATACGTTACACATGTGTGTGTATATACACATATCAACGTCAAGGCATAGGAACAATTAACAGCAGTTCTCTCTGGAAGATGGGATTAAAAGATTTTACCTTTCCTGTATTGTGCTGAATGTTTATGAAATCAGCAAATAAAATAAAGTCAAAAACAAAACAAGAAAACTCAACTTTGAAAAAATGCTATGTGGTTACAAGACATTCCCATGTGCTTCAGAGAAATCTGACTTCATGGGAATCACTCACCTAAAATTTCTAAAACACTGCGTTTAGTTGGAACCGCAAGTTTTTCACAAATAAATCTAATTTATGAAAAAAAAAAGTGGTATTCCAGTTTCTCCAAATTAAGACATTAGAGTACTTTTCTAAATTCTAACAAGTAACTGATAGATTTTTAAAAATAAGTTTTAAAGTGACAAAGCTCTCTCTACCTTTGCCACTTTAAAGCCTATTTCTTTTCTCACATGAACTTTGTTGGAGTACTCACATGATCAAAAAAATACACCACTGCAAGCTTTTTGCTGCGCCTGGTATATATGCGCTGCACTTTAGCAATTTTGCCAAAGTGGTTCTCCAGAGTGGTTCTGTTATTGAGATAGTCAGGGATGTTCTTGCACTGGATCGCTGTGACTTCAGCAGGAGACAAGCCCCCGAGACTGTCTGTGCTCTCACTCCTCTTACTCTGACGGCAAGGAGTTCCTCTTAGAGAATCTAGGGGATCAGTGAACAGTCATAAAAATGTATCAGATGCAACATTTTCCAACTACTGGGGGCATCAACTAGGAAGGAGCAAAGAAAATTTTTATGGATGTTAAGACCTGCTCCAAGATCCTACATGTTAGGATCCCTAATGTTTGCAGGGGGTTAACTTGGAGATTCAAGCTAACACTCAGGGAAATTTACCAAGAACCTGCCAGCAGGATATACTGTATTTCGTACTTTCTAGAACTTACCTTCTTTTTTATCTCTGCTTTCAGTATCTTCCTCTTTATTCACACCTGGAAGCCGGGAAGCTGCTGGGACAGACTGACTGCCTCCTGGGATGACTAAGTGGTCATTTTCCCCAGACTCGACACAGCCAATTTCCTTTTTAGATTCCTTGTTGCCCAGACGACCTACTTCTTTATTGCTTTTGAAGACATCCTGTATTGTCCGACCAAACAGAGTGCCTCCTCGGGGTCGATTCAAGCGAACAGGTCGTTTATCTGGAGGATGATCACCCCTTGACAGAGGGTCCAAGTCTTCAGCTGCGTCATGACCGTGCCTCCTTGGGGACCGATCCTGGTCCTCCTTTCTTTTCAGTCCTTTCATGAGGCTGGGAAGTGGCTCCATTTGGGAAACAGCTTCTTCGCATCCTTGTCTGACACCTGTTTTGCTAATTGGGAAGGGTTCACCCAAGGACCCTGAAGAAGACATGGGGAAGGCAGTGAAGGTACTACTAGAACTTCCAAACAGTGATTTTGGGCCTCTCTTCTCTTCCTCCACATTCTGATTTGGCAAAGCAGGGGTAAAGGCAGATGATGAATTATTATTACCTGGTTTTGAAAAGGTAAAATTTGAAGTGGTGGCTGAACTACTTGTCACCTGAGAAAAACAAAATGGGGCCAGTCCCCCAGGTCCACTACTGATTGGGTGGGAAAATGTAAAAAATCCAGAAGTAACTTGGCTCTGAGTTTTCTCTGGCTCAGATTCAGCCCCCAATATTGGTCTGAACACTGAATTTTCCAGAGGTTTAAAGCTAAATTCTGTTTTCCCAAAGACAGGGCTTGCTTTTTCTCCAGTTTCTGGGGCAAAAGTAGAAGTACTTGGGAATGCTCCAAGGTTGGGGGACTTAAAACTGAATCCAGGGTTTCCAGGCACACATGAACTCGAAGGCCCAGAGGCAGCTACAAAGGCTGGACTGTGTTCAAGTCCAGAAAAGAGCCCAACACTTGAGGTTTGAGAGAATCCTAACGTTTGCACTGAAGAATGACTTTGTCCAGAAGATGCTGGAAAACTGGACACCTGTGAAAATCCTGAGCTTTTGCCGGATAATGTATTGCTTTGTCCAAAAAGAGAGGGCTCACCAAACCGAAATTGTGGCTTAGCTTGAAATGTTCCTATGGAACTACTGGAAGATGTTGGAAAAACACCAGGCTGCTGCCCACCAAAAGGATTAGCTGGATTCATCTTCTGAGCAAGTTACTGCAAGTTACTAGAAGGCAATAAATACTACGTGTAAAAAAGGAGTCCTCTTCCTCAAATGGTCTGTTCAAATAGGCAGCTCCCCCCTATCTCCACAATAAGCTGAAAAACAAAAATTCAGACAATCACAACTACGTGGTGTTGGAAGGCTAAGAATTTTTAATCACATGGCAGGCAAAGCAAAGGGCTAATTCTTATTTTCTGAGAGCCAAATGGTGGTTCCCTGCCTTTTTGGGGGGAATGCAGAGTAGAAGATGATACAAATAAATTACTTTGTTATGGGGGTTCAAAGCATGATCCTTTAAGACTAAAAAAAAAAAAAAAAAATCAAAACATCTTACTGAATCCGCAAATTTATGGAAAACCTAAAATAGCAATAACAAAGTACACGCCAGTTGCACTTTCCAAGACAGGCGTTTCTGACGTCTTTCAATCTCCACAGCCAGAGAATTACAATGTAACACTGTTAAAACGTTAGTGTTTCAATGTTTCCTTACATCTAATTTTTTCTCCCAGTAACCAGAGCACCAAATACTTTATCCAAACAAAGAAATAATTTGCGTTTTAACACGGTGGAGACTGTCCCCAGGATCCAGCTCGAAGAACACAGTGCTCATGAAAAACAGGCAGCCCCGCCAAATCGCGGGTGCAGCGCAACCCAAATCTCAGGCGGGCCCGTGGGTGGGCTCGGCGCCTGCCGCGCACCTCCCCCCATCCTGCCCGCCGTGTGCCCCCCAACGCCCCTGGCCCTGCGCCCCGGGGCGAGCCATGTCCCATCCCCGCGCCCCTAGCCGCGCGCCCACCGTATTCCCCCAGCTCCGCTCGGTTAGCGACAGGGCCGCGGCGGCAGGGAAGAAGGCGGCCTCCGCCCCCCAGTGCCCCGCGCCGTGCTCACCGTCTAGCTCAGGGACACGGCCGCCCGCCATGCCTTCGGGCTAGGGACGCAGGCAGGGCCCGTGGCCGCCTAGGCCAGTGCCGCCCAAGGCCGGCGAACAGAAAACACCGCGGACCCACTTCCGGTCGGTCCCGCGCCACCCAGCACCGCCCGGGCCCAGCCGCGCTGGGGTTCCGCTCTCCGGCCGGGCGGCGGCGGCGGGGCTTCCGGGGCGCGGCGTCCAGACCCCGGTCCGCCCGCTTCTGCTCAGTAAGCGCCTCTTCCCCAAAGTGGGGAGGCGCGCGCTGGGCCCGCTGTGCACCCCTACACCGCTGGGCCCTCCCTTCTCGCCGGTTCTCTAGCGTGTGTCGCCGCCCGTCCGGCGAGCCCCACCCCACCGTCTGCCCAGGCCCCCCGGGCTGCGTCTTCCTCCCGGTAAAGCGCACGTTCCATGACAGTTTTCAACGAATTCCACCGAACGGGGTGACGTGAGCGTGCGTGCGCGTGCGTTGCTACAGAACTTCCGCGGGCTTTCGATTAATCGGCCCGAAGTCGCGATGAGCCTAGCGCTCCGCAACCTGCAGCGGGCGGTTCCCCTGCGGCGCGCGCTGCTGCGCCAGAGGCTGCAGGCGGTGCGCGAGGCCCTGGGCGTGCAGGCCTTCGACCTGGGCGTTGTCTGCGTCGACAACCGGAAGATTCAGCAGATGAACAGGGTCTACCGAGAGCAAGACACCCCGACCGACGTACTCTCCTTCCCCTTTTACGAGGTAAAGGCTGCCCTTCGGTTCACATCCGGCCTACCTTCCGCTGTGAATTCCGTTAATTACACCACAGACAGGATTGTCAGTGTTGCTCCGAAAATTTCAAATACACACGGAAGTAGGGAGTAAGATGCGACCGTCGCTACTGATCAGAGCCTATCGCTGAAGGAGGGAGGGTGATCCCCGCCCTCCTCGTAACAGTGAATTAAAGAGAAAGCGCTTCTGCAGTTTTAAGTGTGGTTCATTAATGGATATGTACGGGTTGAAAATTTTAAATAACTCTGAAAATAAGAGGACAGACTTGGGCAAATATTTTAAACAAATATGTGCTGTCTATCAGATTATAAGGATTTCCCTGTAGCTCAAACGGTAAAGAATCTGCCCGCGATGCAGGAGACCAAGGTTCCATCCCTGGGTCGGGAAGATCCCTTGGAGGAGGGCACGGCAACCCTCCAGTATTCTTGCCTGAAGAATCCCATGGACCAAGGAGCCTGGCAGGCTACAGTCCATGGGGTCAAAAAGAGTTGGACACGACTGAGCAACTAACACACGCATCAGGTTATTATCTATGTTATGTGAATGACTCATTGGAGACTTCCTGCATTGTTAGTGGCCACATAAATTGGGGCAGCCCTTTTGGAAAGCAGTCTGGCAATTTACCTGAAGTAAATCTTGATAACTGTTTAATCCACTAGGATCACACCTAAGGAAATAAATTGAAGGAGGAAAGAGAATTAAATGTTCAACATGTAATATAAAAATATATTAAAGTGTCCATTTATTTTCCGTAAAAAGAAATAAAAATATTTGACTGACTTAGTGTGAACAGCCCTCAGTTGAATGGACTGGTCTTTTATGTGGGAACATGTGATCAGTATCAAAACTGGGAAGAACAGAAATGTAAACTTGTATCAATGTGGTGATTTAGCTCCTAGATGTTTTGGAGCTGGGTAGTTGTGCATTAGGAAGGATGAAAGAAATGGAAATAATTATTTTGACAGTGTGGGAACATCTTAAGTCAGTCGTGTGCAGTATCTCTGCCACAGTCCCTGATTTGTCTGCCTTGGGACTAGCAACACCGGGTCTTTCAGGGTGAAACCTGTGGGCCTGTGGCCAGTTAGTGTTCTGAGGTCATGTTCTGCAAATGTGTATTTCCTCATTTTCAGAATCTGAAAGCAGGTGAAATCCCCCAGCCCAGCTTTCCAGATGACTATAATTTAGGAGACATTTTCCTGGGCGTGGAGTTTATCCTCCAGCAGTGCAAGGAAGATGAAGATTACTATGACATCCTGACTGTAAGTGGGATGCGGAAATGACACATCCTCATGGGCAAAGCAGAAGCCAGTGTCCTTCGTCCAGGCCACGAGAAGAGGTTGTGGAGGTGACATGAACACCCGCACCATAAGCCTTGAGTAGGACAAGGGCTCCTGGGGGAAACCCGCAGGCAAGGGCCGTCCCCTCTCACCACATCTCAGAGAGGAGAGCCTGGGGCGTGGGTCTGTGCCCGCGAGGCAGTGTTGGGTGAGGGGAGGGGACGCTCCTGGGAGGAGGGGGCCCTAGGAGCGGCCTGATTCTTAGCTTTGCCTCTGGAGATGAGCAGGCTGCCTTTAGCCAGCTCAGGGCAGCTGAAGGAGCTTCTTACTGAACTGCTAGAAGCGGGCCGGATTCCAGCCTCCGGGGCCTTCAAATCTGTCTCCTCCCCTGATGCCGTGAAGGATGGCGGGAGTGTTCTGAAAAGCAGTGTGCCGTTGAGTCATGTTCCACTGTCCCCATGGATTCAGTGGAGGTGTCTCCCTTTGTCCATACCCTAAAGTATCATCTTTGGGGAATCCTAGTGCTTCTGAGACTTAAAGTGGAATTTCCCAGCGAGACACCCTGTGCTCAGGCATCAGGGTTGCTGACAGGAGGAGCGTGTGCTTTCTCCTTGCAAGTGGTGAGAACTGCTGTGTAGACAGCACCGCTTAGCACTGGTCTCAACTCCAGGATCTCCGTGACTAGCGCCGTGTGCCCCGGGGGGCTCTGGGCTTGGGTCATCTGTGGACACTGTCCGCTCCCCAATACCTTCTGAGAAGTCTGTTACCCACAGTGGAGGACCAGCCTGCACGCGTAGGACCCTCAGTTCCCTGGCACTGGGCCAGGCCAAGCCACTCTCCTCCCAGCTGGCACCCACCTGCATGGCAACGCTGGGTCCCTCCCCTTCCCCTGCCCTGGCTCTCCATGTCTCCACAGCTCCCCCCGACTCCAGAGGCGATCCTGATCTTCACACCCCACCACAGGGGCCTGACCTACTCCTGCTAACCAGACCCCCCACCGTGACGTCACCACCTGCCCACAGCCCTGCCTGGGCCCAGAGGAGGCTTCCTCACCTCCCGCTGGGCATCCACCAGCCCTCCCTGACTTTTTCTCTTTCTCCTCCTCCTCCACCACCACCACCACCACCCTGGCTCATGGCTTGATCCTGACCACCCTCTGAGGCAGCTTCTTAATTGTTCTGACAGGTGACTGCCACCCACGGGCTCTGTCACCTGCTGGGTTTCACACACAGCACGGAGGCCGAATGGCAGAAGGTAGGACCCCTGCCCTGCCTGCAGCACACACAGGCACGCATTGCAGCCCAGGCCCCAGAAACCAGGCTGTGCGACCTGCCCCCTGCTGTCCAGTGTGAAAACCAAATGGAGAAATGCAGCAAAATGAGGAGTTGATAGGGCCCACTTTATAAAAGAGACAGTGTTTGTTTTAAATACTGGACTCCCTAAATGCTGGTAACTACATTATTCATTCACTACTGAAAGGTCCGAGGAGAGACGCTGATAAGAATTTCATAAAATCCCAAGATGACTTAAAATCTTTATGAGAGTTATTGTGATGATATTTGTCAGTTGGAAACAGGATTTGGGACATTCGAGTATCTGATCCAGACCTATTATGTGGTGGTTTGTTTCCTCAAAGACTACCAGTTATTTACTCAGTTTATAAAGGTCTGTGTTGGTATAGAACCATAATTGCATTTTATTAACTCAAATTATGTTCATAATCAAGTAGGCTCTCTGAACTGCATAGAAAAACATTTTTTGAAAATTAACAAAATGGTCCTGGTACAGTTGGCCTCCCCATGGCCTTCTGAGGCTCCTGGGTCCACACCGGCCACACCCTGGCTCTGTCCCACACCCCCATCCCTGCTGTAGCCCCCTCATCCCCCTCCTCAGCCCCGCTGCCCTCCATACCAGCAGCATCTCAGGGATGCTTCAGGGCGGTTTCCCAGCAGCCCACCCTTTCCCCCAGGAGGGGCTTCACACACCTGCTCCCAGGCTTTGGGACAGGTCACTCAGTCTGACCCCTTCTTCAAACCCCAAGGTAGGCCCTCCCCTCCTCTTCATACCCAAGACCACCAACTCGGCCCTGGCCCCCCACCCCCTGCCCCTGCTGGCTCCAAGGCTCCCACCAGGAGCGCCTCTGTCCTAGGGCTGCCCGCCTCAGGCTGTATGGGAGGCCACAGGCCTCAGGGAGAGAGCCCCCAGGGTCAGGGGAGGCCAGGCCTCTGGGCCAGTCCAGAGCTGGTTTCTACCCCTTTCTTTCAGATGTACCAGAAGGAGAAGCAGGTTCTGCAGGAGCTGAACAAGCACATGGGGACCAGGCTGCAGCCCCTGAGCAGAGGCCTCTTCTGACGAAGGTGACGGAGAGTGGCTGGAAGGTGGCCCCAGAGATCAGGGCGCCCCCACACTGCGGGTCTCGGTGGCCACTGCTGCCCTGTGGGGCAAGTTCCACTCCTTCCTTTGTTTAGGACACAGTTGGTCTGCTATTTCCAGTGTTGTAAATAAAATAGTTCTCAGCTCTCAGATCATGCAGAGGTGGGGCATGGGAACCGCCCCTTCCCCGGGGCTCCGCCCTTGGCATAGGGGCATCTCTCCCATCTTAGGACAGATCAAGGAGCCCAGGTGGGTGTACCCTCCCTTGAAATCCTGCTGGATTCAGTCCCACCCAGCCCCCACAGGAGCAAGAGGGCTGCAAGGCCCGCCAGCCCACTCCCACCCCAGGGGACCCTCAGCTCTTCTTTGGCCATCACCTGCCCTAGCCCTTCAGTCCCCAGTTCAAGCATTTGCTTGTAGGTCGTTCCCGAGTCCTCTGCCCACATGGCAGAGCTCTGACTGCCACATCCCATCCTCCTGTTGGACAGCGCCCTTCTGTCAATCCTGTTCAGTCCTGACTTCTGAACAGTCAAGTAAACCCAGGGGTCACCCAGAGCCTTCTCCAGAGCTGTGCCTAAGCTCTGACCTCGCAAGTGGGGCAGATGTTGAGGGGGTGGGCACTGAGCCAACTCAGGGCCTCGATCTCAGGCCCCAGCACTCACCACGGTGCCACAGACTCTCCACTCGCCTGGAGCTCCAGACGAGTCAGGGCAACAACACACGGCCTCTTGGAGATTCTAAAACTCAGAAAAATATGATTCTAAGAACTTGGTTTCTCCCATACGTTGATTTTAGAAATGAAACGCATTTCCCATTGGATTTGTGTCCTGAGCCTGGACTTCCACTGGCTCCTGGGGACATGGGTCTGTCATTTTCCTGAGCTGCTGGCTGCGTGTGGCCTGCTTGTAATCATTAAACTTGTTCTCAGTTTAGAGTTTAACATGGCAGAGACCAAAGATAAGCCCCCAGCACTCTCTGCTTTCTGGGCCCTTTGAAGGGACTGAAGGGTCCTGAGACCCGCCAGTCCTGCCAGCAGGTGTTCGGAGGCTCTTCACCTGCCACTGGAGCCAGCCCCCCCAGGACCTCTGGTCGTGTCTGGACACAGGCGACTTCCTCCTGTGTTCGAGTCTGAGCAGACTTGCCCATTTTCTACTGGTTTTTCCTTTTTTCTTATTAATTAGGTGTTTTAACATGTGGTTGTAAACAGCCCTTGAATTTTAGTACAGAATGTGAGCGAGTGTCCTGACCTGAATCTGAGAGAAGGCCACGCCACGGTTCATCAGCAGCCAGGCCATCTGCTGGCCACAGGGCGTCTTGGTTCTGTCTCGTTCCACTGGTTGCCCCTACCCTCCACCCTCCTCACCCAGACACATGCTGGCCTGGTCCCAGTTCAGTTCATTTCAGTTGCTCAGTTGTGTCCGACTCTTTGCGACCCCATGGACTGCAGCATGCCAGACCTCCCTGTCCATCATCACCTCCCAGAGCTTGCTCACACTTAGGTCCATCGAGTTGGTGATGCCATCCAAACATCTTATCCTCTGTCATCCCCTTCTCCTCCTGCCTTCAGTCTTTCCCAGCATCAAGGTCTTTTCCAGTGAGTCAGTTCTTCCCATCAGATGGCCAAAGTATTGGACCTTCAGCGTCAGTCCTTCCAATGACCATTCAGGACTGATTTCCTTCAGGATTAACAAGTTGGATCTCTTTGCTGTCCAAGGGACTCTCAAGAATCTTCTCCAGCACCACAGTTGAAAAGCATCAATTCTTCAGTGCTCAGCCTTCTTTATGGTCCAGCTCTCACATCCACACATGCCCGGTCCTAGAGCTTCCGGCACATCCAGTGTCGCCTGAGCAGAGCCCCTGCTCCAGGTGTTGCCTAGGTTCCCAGCCCTTTACTGTCCTGGCTGTGTTCTAGATTCACCTCCCAGCCTCCAAGCCCTGAAGGCACCTTAGAGTTATGCCAGGTCCACAGGGCACAGGCAGTGCCTCCTGCTTCATGGTCCTTGGCATCTTGGTGAGGAGATGCCCACCAGCACCCCCACCAGGGCACTTGGCACAACCATTAAAATTTCCTCTCCTCACAACACTTCTACCACTAACTGCTCAGAGCCAGTGCAGCCCCCCACAAGTGAAGGGCTCAGGCCCACAAGTTCTGTTCAGTTCAGTTCAGTCGCTCAGTCATGTCTGACTCTTTGTGACCCCGTGGGCTGCAGCACTCCAGGCTTCCCTGTCCATCACCAATACCTGGAGGTTGTTCAAACTCATGTCCATCGAGTCATTGATGCCATCCAATCATCTCATCCTCTGTAATCCCCTTCTGCCTTCAATCTTTCCCAGCATCAGAGTCTTTTCCAATGAGACAGTTCTTTGAATCAGGTGGCCAAAGTTTTGGAGCTTCAGCTTCAGCATCAGTCCTTCCTAATTTCCTTTAGGATTGGCTGGTTTGATCTCCTTGCAGTCCAAGGTACTCTCAAGAGTCTTCTCCAACACCACAGTTCAAAAGCATCAGTTCTTTGGTGCTCAGCTTTCTCTGTAGTCCAACTCTCACATCCATTCGTGACTACAGGAAAAACCATAGCTTTGACTAGACAGACCTTTGTCAGCAAAGTAACGTCTCTGCTTTTTAACATGCTGTCTAGGTTTGTCATAGCTTTCCTTCCAAGGAGCAATTGTCTTTTAATTTCATGGCTGCAGTCACTGTCTGCAGTGATTTTGAAGCCCAAGAAAATAAAGTCTGTCACTGTTTTCCATTATTTCCCCATCTATTTGCCATGAAGTGATGGGACCAGATGCCATGATCTTAGTTTTTTGAATGTTGAGTTTTAAGCCAACTTTTTCACTCCTCTTTCACTTTCATCAAGAGACTCTTTAGTTCTTCACTTTCTGCCATAAGGCTGGTGTCATCTGCGTGTCTGAGGTTATTGATATTTCTCCCATCTCCCATGGACTCCCATGGGCATCTCCCAGGCCCAACAAGTTGATGATGCCATCCAACCATCTTATATGGCCTCCCTACCGAGGCTATTAACCCTCTCAAGACTTCCCTGGTGGCCCAGCAGCTAAGATTCTGAGCTCCCAATGCAGGGAGCCCAGGTTTGATCCCTGGTCAGGGAACTAGATCCCGCATGTTGCAACTAGAACTTGGTGCAGCCAAACAAATAAAAATAAATATTTTTTTAAAAAATGCCCTCCCACTCTAGACCAGGATACTCAGTATCCAAATTCACCAGAATCAGAGGTTCCCATAACCCTCCCCGTCCCCCAGGTTCAGTAATTTGCTAGAATGGTCACAGAACTCAGGGAACACTGCTTTATTGTAAAGAACACAGATGAACAGTCAGCTGGAGACGTGCATGGGGTGAACACAAGAGCTTCTGTCCCCTTGGAGCGGGGTGTGCACCACCTCCCAGATGTTCACCAGCCCAATCTTCTAGTGGATTTATGGAGGTTCTATTACTGAGGCATTGATGGATTCAGTCATTGGCCATTGATGATTGACTCCACTCCCTCAGGTTGGGAGTGGGGCTTAAGTGCCAACCTCCAATCAGGGTGGGTTCCTCGGACAACCGTCCCCCACCCTCCTGAAACCTCCAGGGGCCCAGAGTCACCTCATTAGCATAACCTCCGGATTACGAAGGTTTTAGGAGCTGTGTGCCAGGAACCAGGGCAAAACCAAATACACATTTCTTACTATGCCACAGTATCACACCACGCAAAGCCCCCACCTCTGGGCCCCAGCACCACCTCCCTGGCAGGCCCACCCCACTTCCAGGGCCTACTGAGACTTCTTCAGCTGCCCCGGATTGGCCAACTCATGAAGGCGATCTCACCCCATGTCCTCAACGTTGACCTCCCTTCCCAGAGGCCCTCCCATTGGTGGCCTTGCCACGTTCTCACAGCACTGGACTCTCCCAGACGCAGGAACATATTCCCTTCATCCTGGTTGACCCGCCAAGGCCAGGTGTGCGGTGACAGAAAACATGCATGTTAGTCTTCACACTGCCCCCCGCCCCAGCTCCTGACAGGGATCCTGAAACCCTTGTAAATTCCCACGTGATGATGAGGTGACTGGGTGGATCCTGGATGAGTCTGGTTGCTGGGAAGGCCGAGCCAGGATTAGAGCCTCGGAACTTCCCTGGAGTAGGGAGGGGGCTGGAGATGGAGTGACCAGTGGTCAGGCCCATGTGAGGAAGCCTCCACACCATCCCAGCCTAAGGTGCAGGGGGCCCAGGTCGGCAGACGCATCCAGGCTGGGAGGTGACGCACCCCACTGCGCGGGGACACAGGTGAGCCCTGGATTTGTGACTGGCATCTGAAGTGGGGACAGTCCTAGGAGTCTGAGCCCTTGACCTGAGGGATCTGACCCCATCTCCAGGCAGGTGGTATCAGAATTGAGCTGAATTGCAGGACACCCGAGCAGGATCACGGGGACCTGCGTGTTGTGGGCAAACCCCACACACATTTGGTGACAGAAGTGAAACGTCCTATGTGACAGTCGGGGAGACTCACAGGAGAGGCAGACACCTGAGGGAAGGGCTGGGTTTTCCCTGACTCCAAAGGCAAACAAAACAGATTGTCCCGTTTCCCAGGCCAACCAAAGATGACGAGCTGCTGTCAAACCTCTTCCCTCTATCGAGTTAACAATTATGTTGAGAAGTAAAACCAAAGTGAAAAGCCATGTGAGAAAATGGCAACATGAATGGGAACCCCCTCACGGTCCAGTAATGAGGACTCAGCACTTGGACTGCTGAGGGCTCAGGTTAGCTTCCTGGTTGGGGAGCTGAGATTCCACAAACCGTGGTGAATTTTTTTTTTAAAGAAAATGTCAACATGAAAATACGGAAATTGGGTCAGACCTTTAATGGCACATTGAACAAGATGTGCAGATGTCAGGACACGCTGCACCCAGCCCCTTGGCGCTCTCGCCACTGGGGAGCTGCCTGGTGTGCAGTCAGCCCGGGGGGGAGCCTGCGTGCAGCTGGAGGGCAATTCCAAGGTTATCTCTTCCTTTGAGGAGCCTTCTGGCAACTGCCAGTTCCAAAGACGCAGACCCGAGCAGAGCTTCTGCTCGTGTGGAACTTGAGGAAAGAGGTAACATCCCCAAAGGGGCCAATGCAAACATGTATAATGCTTGCAAAGGGCATTTACATGGAAATGATATTAAAGCATCCAGGAGGTGCAATTCCACCAGAAAAATATACAAGAGCCAAAAACGGAGTAGAGGTATCGTGTCCCATTGGGAGAGTCCTGACTGGCTCAGATGGAGGAGAGTCCCCTCAACCAGCTTTCTTGCTTCACTTCAGGGGGAGAGACTGCTCTAGCCAGCCTGTGGCCCTGCCCTCACCAGATGCCCTGCCCTCACCCAGACACCCTCACCCAGATACCCTGCCCTCACCCAGACACCCTGCCCTCACCTAGACATGCTGCCCTCACCCAGACACGCTGCCCTCACCCAGATGCCCTGCCCGCACCCAGATGCCTTTACCCAAACACCCGCCCTCACCCAGACAGGCTGCCCTCACCCAGAAACATGCTGCCCTCACCCAGACACGCTGCCCTCACCAGACGCCCTGCCCTCACCCAGACATGCTGCCCTCACCCAGGCACACCAGGCACATGTCCTGCCACAGCGCCTTCCCCGGGCACCACATGTGTGACTGTGTTCATGGATTTGTGTGGCTGAACCCATCGGCCTTTTCTCTCCTGGCTCCTGAGCCCCGTTTCCTGGTCACATCCCCGTGTCCCCTGGTGATCCTCACAGCCCTGGGTCCAGGAGCCTCAGCTGCCCCACCACCCGGGAGAACGGGGCCTGTTGCTCACCTGAGCCCACCATGAGGTCATGGGCCTGGCGCCTGTGCCGGCAGGACCCCGCTGGACGCCATCCTGAGGGGAAGAAGGGTGTCTGCTACTGCCCTGGTCTGGCTCAAAGACGCCACGTTCAGGTGTGTCTCACCACCAGGCCTCGGTGGGGCCCTCAGAGCTGGATTTATCCTGGGCTCTCCCAGGGCCCCCCTGCTGGGCGGGACAAACAACCCCCGCCTCAGGCTGCCCCCCTGGGAGGATGGCCCGGGGTCCACACTCAGCCACGGCAACCAGGGCCAAGACTGCCGCGGTTACCTCCCCAGCCCGCCCCTGTCGCTCAGGAGCTGGTAAGGCCTCCGCAGACTCCCGCTGCAGCCACCGGCCTGACAGAAGGCAAGCAGGGGCGACCCAGGCCCGGGGTCCTCCCACCTTGCAGGCTCAGGAGACCGGGCCGGAGCCCGGCCCAGACTTACGTGCTGAGGGCGGCCGCAGACGGGCCGGTCACGTGCTGCGCGGTGCTGGGCAGGAAGCTGGCGGCAGGCGGGAGAGCAGTGGCAGAGACCACCAGGGGCCACACGGAGTAACCCAGAGGGGAACCAGGCGCAGGCATGGCCGGCAGCAGGGCTGGAGGTGCGTAGCGGTGGTGGTGGCAGACGGAGGGCGGCCTCTGGGTGGCCGGGCGGGCGCGCCGTGCATCCGCAGCAGGACACACAGCAGAGTGTTTCAGCGAGGACGCCGGCTGCGCCCCGGCCCCCTCCCTCCACATGGGCCCTGACTCAGGATGCGGTCAGGGTCAGAAGTGGTGGGCAGGGGCGGACCAGGCTCCCACAGAGCTCATGCAGCTTGGGGGGCAGCTGTCTGGGCCTGGACGGCACAACCTGTCCTCCTCCCCTGGGGTTGCCCTGGGGAGCACCAGGGGCTTCAGGCAGGAAACACAGACCCGGAGCCAGAAACACATGAGTTTCTGGAGGCAAAGCCACCAGGTCCTCTGGTCTTGGCCTGGGCGTGGAGCCTACCTGTGGGGTGAGGTGCGGCGGGGTGGGCGCAAGTGCTGGTGGGGGCAGGGCTCTGAGCATCAAGGCCTGCATGAGGACCTGATGCATCTGCGCGTTCTGCATCAGCATCATCTCCACCACCTCTGTGTGGGGGGCGGGGGGCATGGAGGGCTGGTCACTCCTGGAATGGGGCGCTGCCTGTGGATCTGCAGGTCCCATGCAGCCCCTCGTGCTACTGGACTCCTCATGTAGACCTGGCACATGGAAACTTAGTTTCTCGACCAGGGATCAAACCCACACCCTCTGCAGCAGAGGGGTGGACTTTTAACCACTGAACTGCCAGGGAACTCCCCACAGTTTTAAAAATAAATTAATCATTTATTAATTTTTTTTAAGAAACGCATCTGGAGATGGGGCAATTATCTTGGATTATCTAGGTGGTCCTGATGTTGTGAGAAAATAACTATCACCCTACACTTGAATATCCAGCAACAACATTCATGTTTAAGAACAGGGGGACATCAGAAGAAAGTGAATGCTGAGGGAGCTTAGGAGCCTTACTACAAGGCCTTGTAAAAGACTGATGACAGATGGGGACTTCAGGGGGCAGTCTCCCCAGATGACAGATGCAGGCTCCCCAGATGATAGATGGGGACTCCAGGGGACAGTCTGAGACACAATGAAGAGTGGTTAATTCAAATGTACTTCTGTATGATGATATACCAGTGTCTGTTTCTGAGAAGGTTTTCTAAAAGGTAGAACTGGCATGGAGAACAGTCATGAGGAGTCGGGGCAGAGTGGATGCTACAGAAACTGAGTTTAACTTCATACAAAATAGCCCAAGACTTCTCCAAAGTGGTTATTAGAGTACTTTCGAGATTTCCTATTTTTACATTCCATATTTGATAGAGTTGGGATTTGTTTTGGTACAAAGAGTAGGGTAAGGAACGTGACTTTACTTTTCTGAATAGCTAGCTACTTACTTGTCAGGAATCCTCTGGCCCTTATTAATTCCTGAATATTCAGGAGTTAAGAGGAAAGTCACGCCTTTCCCTTTCCCGGGGCCGAGGAATCCAGGCATTTCCTTTGTCAGTTTCTCATTATGGTGATAAGTACCCTCTTCTCTCTTTAATAGGGATCGCCTTGTGTTTTGTAAATCTGGAATTTTAATCTTTATCTTTGCTGAGAATAACTACCTTGTAAAACAGTATATATGCGCTTGCCATGTTGATTAAAACACCTTTGCTCCATTATGTCTTTCTTTCTTTCTTTCTCTTCCTCTCTTTCTCTTTATCTCTCTATTCCTGGCTGATTCCCTGGAGCGCGAAAGCCAGCTGTGTAACCCAGGGAATATTAGCCTCTTTCCTTCTTTCACTTTCTCATCGTCGACTCCAGGCCACCAAGTTCTGGACCATTAAAGGACCAACACTTACTGACTGTTTCATTTTTACCAATGATTTTAAATGCACTTTTTTAAGGCACACAGATACTTGCATGCGTGCAGTACGCACATATACACATACACACAGTGTGCTGGCTTCCCCTCTAGGGCCGGATAGTCACTAAAGTTCATCTGGAAAAACTGAGGAGGGTGGTGAGGAGAGGCCGGTGCGCGGTTCTCCCTGCACCTGCAGGGCACCTTCCTGTGGGTCTCGGTGTGAGCAGCCCCCCGAGGAGCTGCAGACTGGCATGGGCCATGCAGCATGTACATGGTGGAGCTATGGTCACCAGGACAGGGCTGAGAACATTCATCAGGTGATTCCATACATAGGTCTGCCTCCAGACTCTCATCACTGCCCGTCGTTAGGGAACCGCAAACTACAATCACGGTGACCGACCACCCCCGCCACTAACCACCATCCCCACTAAGTGACCAGCACCCCCACTAGCTGACCATCAGCCTCACTAACTGACCATCACCCCCACTAGCTGACCATCACCCTCACTAACTGACCATCACCCCCACTAACTCACCATCACCCCCAGTAACTCACCATCACCCCCGCTAACTTACCATCACCCCCGCTAACTGACCACCACCCCCACTAACTGACCACACCATGTGCAGGAGAAGATGTGACAAACCAGACCTCTCACATGCAGCACTTTTAAGCACACACTTGCCACATTTCAGCTGCTCCAGTCCTAGGTATGTGCCCAGGAGAAATAAACACTCAGACTCAAATGTGAATGTCCAGGGAGTTGTGTGGTGATACCCAACAACCCCAGCTCCATCATCAGGTGAAAGGATCACAAATGTGTCCATCCACGGGGAGGACTGTCACTTGGCAATTTCAAGGAGCCATGGTTTGCTGCACCCAACAAGAGCGATGAGTCTGAGAGCAGTGCTGCTGAATGAAAGAAGTCGCCCAGAAAGTGCACACTGGGTGATTCTACTCAGACCAGAACAGAGGAGACACAGATCAATGCCTAGTGGCAAAGCAGGCAGGATGGCGGGAGACAGGGCCTGAGGTGGTGCCCATGTTCACCACCTTGATTTAATGATGGGTTCACAGGCGTGTACAGGTGTCAGAACTGTCAGACTGTACACTTTAACCACATGCAATTTAGTCTATGTCACCTCAGTAGAGCTGTTCTGAAATAAAGGTATTCAAAAGTTATTTAAAGAGCAAAAGCAGTTTAACCAATGATTTGAGAAGCTAATCACTAAACGAGTTGGTACTGTGAGCCCAGTTCTTTCTGTTCTGAGTCCAGGCCCTTCCCTCAGGGATATCCATCAGTAAGGATTTTTCAAAGTAAAATTATTTTCATGTGGGTAAATGCATAGCTTCCATTGAGTAGTCAAAAAAATGGCCCTAAATCAGAGGTCTCCAACTGGTTTCATGGAAGACAATTTTTCCACAGGCTCGGGTCAAGGGGGATGGTTTCTGGATGATTCCAGTACTACATTTATTTTGTGCTTTATTTCTATTATTATTACATTGTGATATATAATGAAAGAATTGTTCAACTCACCATAATGCAGAATCAGATCATCAGGCATCAGATTCTCGCAAGGAGCACACAACCTAGGTCCCTAGAGCACGGGGTTCACAGTAGGGTGACCACTAATCTGAGAATCTAATGCCATTGCTGATCTGACAAGAGGCAGAGTGCAGGCAGTAAGGCGAGTAATGGGCAGCAGCTGTAAATACAGATGACGCTTCGCTCACTAGCCTGCCGCTCACCTCCTGCTCTGCAGCCTGGCTCCTAACAGACTACAGACCAGTACTGGTCCGCGGCCCGAGTGTTAAGGACCCCTGCCCTACATGACTACCCTGCTTACAAAAGTATTTCTTCTTTCAGTAGACAATTTCATAAACCCGTGACAACATCCCGAAGAAGGGCAATGGAGTGGCCACAGGACTGGACAAGGTCAGTTTTCATTCCAGTTCCAAAGAAAGGCAATGCCAAAGAATGTTCAAACTACTGTACAATTTCACTCATCTCACATGCTAGCAAAGTAATGCTCAAAATTCTTTAAGCAAGGCTTCAACAGTGAACTTCCTGATGTTCAGGCTGGACTTAGAAGAGGCAGAGGAAGCAGAGATCAAATTGCCAACATTGCTGGATCATCAAAAAAGCGAGAGAGTTCCAGGAAAACATCTACTTCTGCTTTATTGACTGTGCCAAAGCCTTTGACTGTGTGAATCACAACAAAAATCTGGAAAATTCTTAAAGAGATAGGAATACCAGACCATCTGACCTGCCTTCTGAAAAATCAGTATGCAAGTCAAGAAGCAACTTTAGAACCAGACATGGAAAAACAGACTGGTTCCAAATTGGAAAAGAAGTATGTCAAGCTGTATATTGTCACCCTTCTTATTTAACTTCTATGCAGAGTACATCATGTGAAATGCCAGGCTGCATAAAGCTAAAGCTGAAATCAAGATTGCCAGGAGAAATATCAATAACCTCAGATATGCAGATGACACCACCCTTGTGTCAGAAAGCAAAGAGGAACTAAAGAGCCTCTTGATGAAGGTGAAAGAGGAGAATGAAAAAGCTGGCTTCCAACTCAACACTCAAAAAACAAAGACCATGGCATCCAGTCCCATCACTTCATGCAAATAGAGGAGGAAGCAATGGAAACAGTGATAGACTTTAATTCCTTGGACTCCAAAATCACTCGGACTGTGACTGCAGCCATGAAATTAAAAGACACTTGCTCCTTGAAAGAAAAGCTATGACCAACCAGACAGCATATTAAAAAGCAGACACATTACGTTGCCAACAAAGGTCTGTATGACCAAAGCTATGGTTTTTCCAGTAGTCATGTACGGATATGAGAGTTAGGCCATAAAGAAAGCTGAGCACCAAAGAATTGGTGCTTTTGAACTGTGGTGTTGGTGAAGACTCTTGAGAGTCCCTTGGACTTCAAGGAGATCAAACCAGTCAACGCTAAAGGAAATCAATCGTGAATATTCATTAGAAGGACTGATGCTGAAGGTGAAGCTCCAATACTTTGGCCACCTGATGCAAAGAACTGACTCACTGGAAAAGACCCTGATGCTGGGAAAGATTGAAGGCAAGAGGAGAAAGGGACGACAGTGGATGAGATGGTTGGATGGCATCACCGACTCAATGGACATAGGTTTATGCAAACTCTGGGAGATGGTGAAGGACAGGGAAACCTGGCGTGCTACAATCCATGGGGTCGCAAAGAGTTGGACGCAAAGAGTTGTCACAAAGAGACACGACTAAGTGACTGAACAACAAGACAACACTCGTTGTGGACACTTACCTTCCTTGATGCTTCCTGACCGCTGGGTGGGGAAGGCCGGGGGAGGGGGGATCTGTGCAATGAGTGGCTGCTGAGGCAGCTGCTGGATGATGGTGGCAGGAGGTGGGGGGGCCTGGAAGAGCCAGACAATCCATTATCTGAATGTGCCCTGAGAATAGTGACCTACAGCACCACCCACCACCTGCCATCCAGACATCCACCATCCATCCATCCATCCATCCATGGGAGATTTTAGGCGAGAAACCCTAGAGATTAAACAAGTGTCCAATTAGATAAATACTTGCATCTGGGTATCACTTAGGACATAGCATGTTATGGACTGAATGTTTATTCCCCGCTCAAATTCACATGTTGAAACCCTAAGCTCCAAACTGACTGCATTTGGAGATGGGGCCTGTGAGGAGGTGATAAAGGTAAAGAGAGCATAAGGGTGGGGCTCTAGGTTGATAGGCCTGGTGCCCTTGGTAAGAGGAAGAGACACCAGACTCTCTCTGCCCCTTGAGACACCACGAGAAGGCTGCCAATCCCTAGCCAGGAGGCCATGCTCAGGGAACCAGGTTGGCTGGCACCTCCATCCAAGACATCCAGCTTCCAGGCAGTGATAAGGGAAATGTCTGACATTTAAGCTCAAAGACTGTGGGGGTATTAATATTTTATAACAGAGCCCAAGCTGAGTGAAACATGGCGTGTCGTTTTCTAATGTTTCCCACATTTCCTGGTGTCAGTGGGCTAAGCTCATCCCTGCGTCCATTACTTCTGCTTTAATAGAGGCATCCAAGGAGCTCGGCATGGAAACACCCTCTGGCTTCTCTCCTGAGTTAACACAAATGCACCACAGTTCAGAGCATGCACTAGGTGTTGATTCCCACTTAAATCCTCTTCTGAATGCACCGGGCCCTGCCCTGTCCCCTCTCCCTCGGTTCACAGAAAGGATGGCATAGACAGGGCTGGCAAACATCCTGCAAAGGGCCTGATGGGGTATTATTCCCACTTTGTGGCCACACAGCTTCAGTTGTAAGTGTTCACCTCTGCTGCTGCAGTTGGAAGGCAGCCCCAGACTGGTAAGCCAACAGAGCTGATCTGGTGAAACTTCACTTAGGCACCCAGAGATGCACGTTTCGTATCCTGTTTGTGTTACCAGACCCCTCGGCTAGCAGGCTGGGCACACACAGGTGGCAGGCAGCTTTGGCGTCGTCACAGCCCACCACCTGGAGCAGACTGGAGAGGCAGCCTGAGTGGCCAATGGCAACTCACCCCAGGGTCTCTGGAAAAACCCATCCCAACCACCCTGGGTCCTGCTTGCTCTGTGGTGTCACCGGAGTCCAGGCTGAGACACCCAAGCACGACTGGGGTAAAGAGTTGCAGTAAATGTGAGCATGCTGGGGACTGGGCGAGCCTCCTGCACCGACACCCCTCTCCCACCGTTCCTGGCAGAGGTTCCAGGGGCAGGAAATTGGGGAAGATACAGACAGTGCTGGGGCCAGGGCTCTGGGGGTTCCGCTGGACAGATCCCTCTCCCTTCCCTCTGCACAGGCAGCCAGGGCCCCCCAGGGGATAAACGTCCTCTAGATCACGACCTGGCCCACCGGCACCATCGGTCTCCTTGGCCAGCCAATCCAGAACCTTCTCCGCTCAGCCTTGGCCACCTCCTGCCTCGTCATCTCCTCCTCGCAAGGCCACAGCCCTTGCCTGTCATCTACTCATGCTCTTAACCCCTGAGGCCACAGCCCGCCGGGACCAGCTGCTGCCCCTCCTTCCTCTGGGCACCACCTGCCCTGATACAATCCCTTCTGCTTAAGGAAGCATGGCTTTCTGTTGCCATATGCAGGGGTGAGCCTCTCAGGAGTGGGTGGACATTCACCTTTCAATGCACCTTAAAATTCTGCCTGGAGACTAGGGGCCCAAGCTTCCTCTGGTAATTAGGAAATTTTGGAAAGCAGCTGACACACTTCTTCCCCAAATTCAGGCCCAGCCAGTGCAGAATCCCCCCATACTTCTGCTCCTGCTGCAGAGGTTAGCACCTGGAGCTGAGCCGGGACCCCAGCCTCCACCTGTAATGAGGAGATAACTGCCCCTCCACACACAGCCAGTGCTTAGGGCACCTGTGAGGCCTGATGATACGGGACACGTTTCTCCCAACAGGGCTGGACACAGCAGCCGCTGTGGCCGCTGAGCCAATGGCCCCTTCAGTGCACTTCCCTAAACTGCTTAGGGTGCGAGTGTGAAGTGACCGACATCTCTGAGAGGTGAGAGGTCTCTGGGTGGACGGTACCCTCCCCATTGGTTCTGCCCCCCAGGTTCACCCAAGGCAGACGTACCAGGTGTTGGATGATCCGTGGTGGGTTTGGGGCAGGTGGGGCTGGGGGGACAGCGGGGTGGATGCCCACAGGAGGCGCCTCTGGGGGCAGCACAGACCCATGGGCTCCTCCATGCAGTTCCCTGTGATGACGAACCCGGGAAGCCTCTTCCAAGAGGCGCTGCTCCTGCAAAGCCAAAGCAGAGCTATGGCCGCTCGGTGGGAGTGTGTCCCGGCCCTCACTCTGCCTGGCAGAGCAGTGCCAGCGCACAGGTGTGTGACCCCAGTCAGAAGCAGTGAGCCCCAATACCACCAACCACTGCCCTGCGCCCGGCCCCCTCCTGCCCCCACCAGGGCCCAGCATACATCTGAGCTGGGACTGCAGCCAGAGTCTGGAGGCAAAGCCCTTCACGTGGTGCACACAGGAGAAATTAACCAAAGATGACTTTCTCCAGCCAGTAGTGAAAATGAAAGTTGCTCAGTCGTTTCTGACTCTTTGCGACCCCGTGGACTATACCGTCCAGGGAATTCTCCAGGCCAGAATACTGGAGTGGGTAGCCTTTCCCTTCTCCAGGGGATCTTCCCAACCCAGGGATCAAATCCACGTCTCCCTCATCACAGGCGTATTCTTTACCAAGTGAGCCACAAGGGAATACTGGAGTGGGTAGCCTATCTCTTTTCCAGTGGATCTTCCTGACCCAGGAGTTGAACCGGGGTTTCTTTGCAGGCGGATTCTTTACCGACTTAGCTATGAGGGAAGCCGGTAGAGGATACTCTGTCTCTCCAGCACATTTCCAGTGCAGAGCAGTAAGTTTATCACAGCTGCTCTGTGGACCCAAACACCTTCCTCCCCCCACGTGTCATTCCCTGCAACAAGTGTGTCTTTTTGGACAAAGCCCTGGGCATCTTGGAATCCCACTTCCTGGAACCAGACCATTCATGGGGCATTTCTGCTTCTGATCATATGCAGCCAGAGCAGGTTTTCTCAGCAAGAAGCCCCTGTGAGAGCCCAGCCTAGAGGAAGCAGGCGAGTTCTCTCTCCTGTGGAGTCCATGGTCCACCAGTTGTCCACCACCACCTCACAAACATCAGAAGCAGTGTGGGTGCAGGACCCCCACCACAACCCCACCCTCACCCCTATACCCTACCCCCCACCCCACCCCAGTGCTTGTTCTGAGCGCCAGCCGCAGCTTCACTGCACAGAGCTCTGGTGAAGACGCCCCATGTCCACATGGCCTACCCAGAGTCTCTGCAGAAGGTCCTTCCTCATCCTCAGAGCGCTCCGCAGGGCGGCCTCTGGCCCATCCTCATCTCCTGGAGGGAAGCGCAGGCTTCAGGGCTCAGCACCACATCCCAGCCTTTCCTGCCTCCAGGACCTGCCTGTCCCAGAGGAGGAGGGAAGTGCCTGCGGGCGGAGCTCAGGAGCCACCCCATGGGGGTTATGTGGGCAACAGTAGGGGGCTTTCAGGAAGCTGAGTCTTCGAGTTGGGGTCAGGAGTCTCCACTCCCCACAGGAGTCCCCACTCCACACCCAGGAGTCCCCACTCCTCTCCAGGAGTCCCCATTCCACCCCCAAGAATCCTGACTCCCCCCCCCAGGAGCCCCCACTCCCCTCCAGGAGTCCCCATTCCACCCCCAAGAATCCTGACTCCCCCCCCAGGAGTCTCCACTCCCCCAGGAGTCCCCATTCCCCTCCCCCCCCCGCCAAGGAGTCCCCACTCTCCTCCCTAGGAGTCCCCACTCCCCCAGGAGTCCCAACTCCCTCCCCAGATGTCTCTACTCGCCCCCCCCCGGGAGCCCCCACTGCCCCCCCCAGGATTCTCCTCTCCCCCAGGAGTCCCCACTCCTCCCCAAAGAGTCCCCACTTCCCCCTAGGAGTCCCCATTCCCCCCACCCCCAGGTGTCCCCACTCCCCCGGCCCATTTGTAGTGTTCCATGTCTGTGTTATGGAAGAGAAAATGGCAACTCACTCTAGTATTCTGGCCTGGAAAATCCTATGGACAGAGGAGCCTGGTGGACCACAATTCATGGAGTCACAGAGTCGGACACGACTGAGCAACTAAGCGCAGCACGTGCCTGTGCTTGCCCTTGGTCATGTGAACTGATTTGGGATTTCCTATCTGGATTTCAGCCCTGGGCTCTTGTCTGTTGCCCCCAGGAACTGCCTGGAACTCTGCAGCACAAGGAGCTTCACCATGTGGTGAAGAACAAGCAGTGTCTCCCCAGCACCTTGCCCAGATGTCCCTGAGCCCAGAACCCCAGCCAGGGAAGGTGGCCCTTCCCCTGGTTCCTGTGGCCTGAGCATCTGACCACCAGACAGGTTGGGGATGTGGAGACATCTGGTCTGGGCACCTGAGGATGGGCAGGTGGATGTGGATGGCTGGGCCCCATATACCCCCACCCCAAAGCAAGCTCGGAGCAACATGGTCTGATGCAGGCGAGGGCGATTCTGATCTGAGCAAGGCAGTGGGGCTGGTCCCCTACCCTCTCTGCCTCCCTCTTCTCATCTGCAAATGGAGTGATGAACGTGCCCCCCTGGATGTGCAGACAGAGGTGATACGATATGAGGGTGCATGTGTGTGTGCGTTTAAGACATAATCAAGGCCTTTCTGCTCTGAAAGTGATGTTTAGAGGACAGTCTGGCCATACCTGGAGGTGGGTCTGGGGCCCACACAGCGCCAAGCAGCCCAGGCTCTTACCTGGCACGACATGGGGGTCCTCAGAAGCCCCCTCCACATCCTCACGCTCTTGCTCCAGTTTCTGTGAGGAGACAGAGGGACGAGCATTGCGGGCTCCAGGCACAGGCTCCTCCGAATGAGGGGCCAGGCCAGGAACAAGTGCCCAGATGACTGACTGGTGCCAGGTGGGGCCCTGTGGTCACACTTTCCATATGACGCACACATGCTCCACCTTGAAACCTGTGGGCCCCTTCAGGCAGCTTTCTGAAGAGTTTGACCAGGCCAGCCCTGAGTCCTGACTGCCCTGATGCCCCAGCTGAGCCCAGGGCTGAGCAGTTATAATCCAGACCAGTCTTGGGGTGACCCCTGCTGCCCTCTCTGGGCAGCCCAGGAGGGCAGAAGGCAAGCATGGTGGGCAGAAGAACAGAGCAGGCAGGTGAGGGGTTGGAGGGGGGCATTGAAAGGACCATGCAGACCCTCAGAGGAGGAGAAGACCGGCCTGAGGAGCGTGCACAGGCTACCTGCCCCATGCCCTGCTGAGAGGCCACAGTAGGCTGGGTCTGTCTTTCCTAAAATTTGGAAGCTGGGAGGCTGCAAGAGAGCTTTGGGAGCCCTGGAAGTGCTCCATCCTGTGGGTGCAGGCCTGCCTGCCAGCTGTAGAAACTTCCAGAAGACCCTACTTGGTTTCATTCAAACACAAAGAAGCACCAAGAAACCACAGCTGTTCACTACAAGGCTAGGACCACCCAGAAGTGCTTTGCTTTGGAAGTGGGCATGACAGGTGTAATCTTACCTGCCAAAGCTGTGCTCTGTAACAAGCTGTTAAAAGCACAAGTGCCAGCTGTCTTTTTTTTTTTTTTCCAGCTGTCTTACCTTCTCAAGGAGTTTCAGGGTCAGTCGGGTCAGTTGATCTGCCACTGAGGAGTCCAGCATTCCGGGGCCACAGGAGGGGACACTGCAGGCCCACTCCCTCCCTGCTCGGTCCCCTCTGGAAGAATTGCTCAGCTAGAGAGAAGCAGCCCCATCCTGGGGTCACTAAGGACTCCCTTGCTGGGCGTGACGTATATCCCAGAGACTGGTCTCCACGGCCAGCTGGCTGGCCTCAGGAGGGCGTGTAGGAGGTGGCCCTGCACCATGGATGCAGAGTGTCCAGAGTCAACAGGCTGGTATCACCGCAACAGTTGCTAGGCACTGCAGACGCAAGGAGGCCCCCTGTTGCCAGGTTCCTGCTGAGAGTCCTTCCCAGGCCTGCCCCGGTCCCCATGAGGGTTTACCTATAAACACTGCTGATCCCCAGGTGTAGCCGGGCTGGGCTCCTCAGGAAGGAGAGATCAGGCAGACGCTGGGGCCAGAGGGGCAGAGCACGGGGGAGGGGCATGTGTCCCTGGGGGGAGGACAGTCCAGAACCCCCAGGAAAGAGCCCAGAGGGGTGAGGTGGGGCAATGCACCACAGGGGTCTGCCACTCCAACTCCCAGTTGATTATGGCCTTCAGAAGGACAGCAAGACCCTAGCCCCTCTTAGGGATCCTCCCCACCAGATGGACCCCTAGAGGTCATGGTGTGACCACCCTACCCCTCCACTGCAGACTTCAGGAAACTCTAGGTGGCAAAGAGGTGGCACCAGGGAGCCTGCCAATGAGGTGCCTAGGGGCTTCTTGGTGGGGTCTTGAGGTGGGCCCACCCCATAGGCACCCAGCCGGCATCTCACAGGACATGGGGCCTCCCAAGGCATCACCTGTCAGTGTTGATGGGACTCTAGCAGGGGGATTGCCCATGTGGGACCTCTGCCCAGAGAACGGTGGGGGGGTCCTGGTGGCTGGGGTCAGGGGCACCTGGGAGCAGGCCCCCCCCCTGCCAGGTCAGCCCTTGATGGATGACCCACCTGCTGGGTGGGGAGGGAGTGCATGTCCACGGGGCTGGTGTGCGGAGGGGGTGAGCCCAGCAAGGGAGGGCAGGGCACCCTGTCGTTTCCAGTTCAGGTTCCCAAATGAGTCAGCCTGAAGAAGGAAGCCAACAGAGCAGACTTGAAGGTGGACCCAGTGCCAGCAGTCCTGGCTGGGGTGAGTGCCGTGTCATTATGCTTACAGCCCCGCTCAGAGCAGCCGACCCAGAAACTTGACCTGGCAGCCAAACTGCCCATACACTTCAGTATTTATGGCTTCATATGTTTCATGACCCTAAGATTCAAACAGGAGGTCTGAGGTACACAAAAATGAGTTAACTTAGCCAAGCAACTTGAGATGGCGGGAGGTCGCCATAACACATCCCAGTGGGTTTCAGTTTGTTAGTTTAAAAAACTTTTTAGGTTTATAGAAAAATTGAGAAGAGAATTTCCATACACATGGGTTCCCTATTATTAACATCTTAAGTTAGTATGACACATTTGTTACAATGAATGAATCTATACCGATACAGTAGCCTTAACTAAAGTCCATAATTCATTTGACTTCCATATTATGCTGCCTACTGTTCCTTTCCTGTTCCAGGATCCTATCCAGGACACCATATGACATTTAGTCACCATGTCCTCTTGGGTTCCCCTTGCTTTTGATGATGTTGCTAGTTTTGAGGAATACTATTTTGATCCAGTGCCACCTGCCAATGCAGGAGACTCAGGAGATGTGGCTTTGATCCCTGGGTCAGAGAGACCCCCTGGAGTAGGAAATGGCAACCCACTCACTATTCTTGCCTGGGAAATCCCATAGACAGAGGATCCTGGTGGGTTACAGTCCATGGAGCCACAAGGAGTTGGATGCGACTGAGCGCATGACTACAGTATTTTTATTATGGTATACTGTACCAGTATCTACTATATCTGGAATCTTTGCAAGGGGTCCCTCCACTATTGGGACTTGTTTGATAATTTCTCATGACTGCACTGGGGTCACGGTTGTTGGGAGGAAGACCACAGAGGACAGAGCCTCTTGTAACGACATTCCATCCAGAGTGCATGCATCAACATGACCCACACAGATGATGTTGACCTCAGTTACGTGGTACAAGTGTGTCTGTCAGGTGTCCCACTGCACAGGTACTATTTTTCTCTTTCTTTCCACACTGTCCTCTGCAGGACGAAGTAGCTATGCACAGCCCATTCATAAGGAGTGGGGGTTATGTTTCCCTCCATGACGGTGTATATCTACATATTTGGACAGTTTTTTAATTGTTAAAAACAAACTAAAATTCAGATCCAATATTTACAGAACATCTAGAAGAGCCATGGAAATGATTCTGGGGCTCTTAGGAACACAGTTTGAGAATCACTGGCCAAGGCAGCATGGGCATGATGCACATACTGTGGTTTGTTGTTGTTCAGTTGCTAAGTCGTGTCCAACTCTTTGAGACCCCATGGACTGCAGCACACCAGGCTCCCCTGGTCTTCACCATCTCCCAGAGCTTGCTCATATTCATGTCCATTGAGTCGATGATGCTATCTAACCATCTCATCCTCTGCTGATCTCTTTTCCTTTTGCCTTCAATCTTTGCCAGCATCAGGGTCTTTTCCAATGAGTTGGCTCTTTGTATCACGTGGCCAAAGTATTGGAGCTTTAACTTCAGCATCAGTCCTTCCAATGGACATTCAGGGGTTGATTTCCTTTAGGATTGACTGGTTGGATCTCCTTGCAGTCCAAGGGACTGTCAAGTCTTCTCCAGCACCACAGTTCAAAAGCATCAGTTCTTTGGTGCTCAGCCTTCTTTATGGTCCAACTCTCACAAGTGCACATGAACACGGGATAAACCATACCTTTGACTATACAGACCTTTGTTGGCAAAGTGACGCCTCTGCTTTTTAATATGCTGTCTAGGTTTGTCATAGCTTTTCTTCCATGGAGCAAGCGCCTTTTAATTTCATGGCTGCAGTCGCCATCTGCAGTGAGTTTCAAGTCCAAGAAAACAAAACCTGTCACTGTTTCCACCTCTTACCCTTCTATTTGCCATGAAGTGATGAGACTCGATGCCATGATCTTAGTGCTTTCGTGTTGAGTTTCAAGCCAGCTTTTAAACTATCTTAACTTCATTAAGAGGCTCTTTAGTTCCTCTTCATTTTCTATCAGAGTTGAATCACCTGCAAATCTGAGGTTGTTGCTATTTCTCCTGACAATCTTGACTCTAGCTGTGATTCATCCAGCCCAGCATTTTGCATGAAGTACTCTGCATGTAAGTTAAGTAAGTAGGGTGACAATATACAGCCTTAACATACTCCTTTCCCAATTTGGAACCATGGTCCGTTGTTCCATGTCTGGTTCTAACTGTTGCTTCTTGACCTGCATACAGGTTTCTGTGATCTGGTATTCCCATCTGTTTAAGAATTTTCCACAATTTGTTGTGATCCACTGGTCAAAGGCTTTAGCATAATCAATGAAGCAGTAGATGTTTTGATGAATCCCCTTGCTTTTTCTGTGATCCAACGAATGTTGTCAATTTGATCTCTGGTTCTTCTGCCTTTTCTTTTTTTCCCTTTGCCTTTTCTACATCCATTTCCTTCTGCAGGGATCTTCTCAACCCAGGGATTGAACCCGTGTTTCCTGTGTCTGTTGCATTGCAGGGGGATTCTTTATTCCTTGAGCCATTGGGGAAGCTGTACATGCATGGTCCTCTGCCTTTTCTAAATCCAGCTTGAATCTCTCTAAGTTCTCAGTTCACATACTCGGTTCAAAGCCTAACGTGAAGGATTTTGAGCATCACCTTGTAAGCTTGTGAAATGAGCACAATTGTCCAGAAGCTTGAAGATTCTTTGGCATTGCCTTTCTTTTGGATTGGAATGAAAACTGACCTTTTCCAGTCCTATGGTCGCTGCTGTTTTCCAAATTTGCTTACATATTGAGTGTAGCACTTTGACATCGTCGTCTTTTAAGATTTGAAATAGTTCAGCTGGAATTTCATCACCTCCACTAGCTTTGTTTGTAGTAATGCTTCCTAAGGCCCATTTGACTTAATGTTCCAGGATGTCTGGCTCTAGGTGGGTGACCACATCATGGTGGTTATCCAGGTCATTAAGAGCTTTTTTGTATAGTTCTATGTATTCTTGACACTTCTTAGCTTCTCTGCTTCTGTTAGGTCCTTACTTTGTGTGTTTTATGGTGCCAATCCTTGCATGAAATGTTCCCTGGTACCTCCAATTTTCTTGAAGAGATATGCAGTCTTTCCCATTCTATTGTCTTCCTCTACTTCTTTGCATTGTTCATTGAAGAAGACCTTTTCATCTCTCCTATTCTCTGACACTCTGCATTCAGTATATCTTTCCCTTTCTTCCTTGCCTTTCACTTCTCTTCTTTGCTTGGCTATTTGTAAAACCTCCTCAGACAACTACTTTGCCTTCTTGCATTTTTCTTTGGGATGGATTTTGTGATCACCTCTGCTACAATGTTACAAACCTCCCTCCATAGTTCTTCAGGCACTCTGTCTACCATATCTAATCTCTTGAATTCTATTTGTCACCTCCACTGTATGATCATAGGGATTTGATTATGTCATGCCTCAATGGCCTAGTGATTTTCTCTATTTTCTTCAATTTAAGCCTGAATTCTGCAATAATGAACTGATGATCTGAGCCACAGTCAGCTCCAGGTCTTGTTTTTGCTGACTGTACAGAGCTTCTCCATCTTTGACTGCAAGGAAGATAATCAATCTGATGTACTGCAACATGTAGAGATTGAGAGATTCAGGTGTGGATCTGAGTCCCTGAATGCTCTTGGGAAATCTGATCCTGTGGTCTGCTAGTGTAACCTGCTGACCCGTTAGGAGTCAGCCTTAGGAGTCCAGTGCCTCATGTCTGTGAGCCAAGACTGGAAGCTCCACTCACCACACAGAGAGGGCTGTGGTCTGACTCAGGAGGTGGTTGAGTATCCAAGGCTCCCTGAGGATTTGTGAGTTGTGGTTAAGAGTTAAGCTCATGTCAGCAAAGAGTCCCGGCAGCATACCAGTGGAGGAGC